CCTCTGGAGAGTGGCTCAGCCTTGGGCTGTGCGTGCAAGCCCGGGGTTGGGGCCTCAGTTACACGTTTACCCGATGTCACACAAAGCTGCGAACACGTTCCACCGTTGCAGGCAGAGGCGAGGCAGCAACTGTGCCCACCGACAGCGTCACCGAAACCGGGAATGAACTGCTTAACCCCAATGTAGTCTTCAGAAGCAGGTGTTCTTCACTGCAGCGCCTGATGAACGGGGGATCGATCCTCCTATCCTGCACACCGACTCGTCTCTCTACAAAACCTTTATACTACCAAAACATACATATTCATTACTTTCCCAATAAATATTCATTACACTTCCCAGGACTCATTAATATATGTCAGTGTCCTTTTTGCATGCCAACTGGTGGTCTTCAGGCATCCCCTGGTGCTCTTTGGAACTTTTGTCACTGTGCCCTTCAGCTGAACGTTTCTTTTGCGCGTATTCAGTTCATCTTCTGGGCTGTTTACACCACTTCTCTCTCCACAAAGCTTGTTTATTCTAACGTCACTGCCTTATCTATCCTATTGCAAAGATTAAGCCCCTCAAAATTCCCGTTCTCTATTTTAGACTATGCACTTGACTGGGACTAACTGGTGTGTAACTGTCTTTCCACCTCAAGTTGTTGAAGCAGAAGGGGATGTTCTTTTGGTATCTCAATCACTGCTAGCAAAGGTCATGGCCTGAGGTGGGGTAGTTCACAGATGGAGGTAGGGAAAACTCAGTCCTGTGGGCAGAGGAAATCAGCCACAATTACCAGTGGGAACCGCTGCAGGGTGGTGGGGAAGCTGGTTCTCCCAGAAATGCAGGAAACACAGCTCACCTGTGTGCTGGTAACACCAGCTGGCACCTTTGAGGACAGACACTGCTTCCTCTCCCCTTGTTCCTGCGTTTTGTTTGGTTTTTTTTGTAAGCTCTCTTTCCTGAAATACTTCAGTTGTTTTATCAGTTTCTTCTACTGGAAAACAAATAGCAGACACAAGGCTTGAATTGTCCAGAGAAAATGAAGCACTAGTGAAATACTGTTAGAAAATAATTAACTAACCCTGCAGACAGCCCAAGGCACGTACTGGTCTCATTTCATATTACCAGCTTTCTGAAAAGAGTGTTGGGGTAATTTGTATCTTATGTTCTCATTGTCCTGTGCCCATACAGACTTTACCTGGCTGCCTGTGTCCGGTTCCTACGCTCTGCCTTAGCCAGTCTCTACTGCAGCTCTGCGGTGCTCACCCTCTCACATTGCCCGGTGACAGGACAAGGGGCAATGGGCAAAAGCTGGAACACCGCGAGTTCCAGACAAATTTAAGGAAAAACTTCTTAACTCTGCTAAGGGAGGGTGATGGAGCACTGGAACAGGCTGCCCAGAGAGGGTGTGGAGTCTCCATCTCTGGAGATGTTCCAAACCCGCCTGGACACTTTCCTGTGCAACTTGTTGTAGGGAACCTGCTTTGGCAGGGGGTTGGACTGGATGATCTCCTGAGGTCCCTTCCAACCCCAACCATTCTGTGATTCTGTGAAATGTCCCAGGCAGCATCACCACTGCTGTAGAAATCACTTTTCTGACGATAACTGATTTCTTCTGTCACTCAGTTACAGCTTGCAGGAGTTCTCATTAAGGAGTTTGTTCAACAAAGCCAGACAAAAGAAATGGGAAAAAGTTTTTTAAGCCCAAAGAGGGAGAATTCAGCAGAAAAGGTGTGGAAGTTTCACATGTATTTAAACATGATTTGTGCTACAGAAAGTGCTTTCACTTGTGGGAGAGGAATGAACTTGCATGACAAATTCTTCAGCTCTGGTATGTACGTGTAGGCGTGGCCGTGAAAGGATCTGGGAAGAGGCAAAGTGCCACGGTTTCGGGAGAGCTGCATATTAATTTTATTTTTATAGATACATAAACCCTGCCTGCAAGAAACACCTGAAACAACAAGACTCTGATTTGTCTACCTGTGAAATAAGCAGAGGTAAAAATCCCTGACATGCTTGTAACAGCTCTATGGTGTTATAAATGTACAGGATGGGGGAGGTGGGGAATATGATGTGTGTATATTGACGTAAAACACAGTATTTTTGGTCTACTTCCTAAGGCCATTTTAGATGTTTAGAATGTAGGAATCTTCTTTTGGGAATATTTCTCAAAAACTGAAGTATGGAGTTAGCATTTAGGTCATAAGAGTTTCACTGGAGGGAGGCAGAGAATTAATTCCTTTTTCTACTACAGAAAATGCCACCTGAAGCTTCAGTGAGGAATTTCTGGAAAGCTAGTATCACTGTGGCTAGTATCATCCCTTCCAGTCCCTAAAATTCTGTGATTCAGTGATTGTGGCTAGTATGAGATTTTAGCAGTATGTGATTAACGTGGGTTTTTTGGAACTTTACACATTCATTTTCCTTGTTTGCTTATTGGTAAAACTTGTTATTTCCAGTCCTCGTAAGTGTGTGTGTGTGTGTGCCTGAAATGTGCTGTTGTTATTTCTTGAAAAGGAATTATTCAGAATCCTTTTTATTAAGGAATAAATAGCTTCTGTTTGACAAGGTTAGGAGAATATTACAGTATGCATGGCTGCTCTCAAAGTGGGTCACAGGGTAAAGTTCAGTGAGCAGGGATTGATCCTGATGCCTGTGTGCTAGGGCAGTGCTCTGATCAGGGTTGGGATCGAATGCAAAGTTAACAGATGATGCAGGATGGTTTCATTTCCTTTAGTGGCCAAAGCAAGTGCAGTGTTGCCCCTACCACTGACTGAGCTGTTCAGCAATTGACTTCTCTGATATGTCTTGGAAGATGCATTTTAGTGCCTTGCCTTGCTTTCAGAAAGCCTTGCTAAGCTGTTGCCCAACTGAGCCTATGGTGGTTCTGTAGGAAATAATTCTCCTGAAAACATTGGTAACAGACATGACTATAGTGATGTTAATTCTGGTTGTACGCTGTCTGTATGAATAATATTGTATTGATATTTCACTACAAAGCCTTAGGGTGTGATTTCTTGGTTATGCCATTTAGGTCTGTAACAAAGAGGAGAAGCATGTTTATTCAGTACTTTGCAGTGACTCTATCAACATACAGACACTTTATGCCTGTAAGACCCCAGACCTGCTGAAAAGAAGACTGGCCAGAGCTTGCACTCCTCAGGTTTTTCTGCAGACCAACAAACATTTTTCTCAACACACTACAGTGGGAAGATCCTAAGCTAACATTTGTGCTGAACATGAAAATTTTCAGGTAACCAGTTCCAGTTCTGCATTTCAGTTTGGTGTTATGGGGTACAGCTAGAAGATGCGAGGCAGCCTGCGCTGTCCAGGCTTCACTCCTTAACGCAGCCCCCAAAGGCATCGCAGGGGTACTGGTGGAACCATGTTACTCTCAGAGCATCACTGCCAAACTGCACAGCCTGTCTATTAAACGTGGCAGATCACTTGCTAGGGAAATTTAGCATTGATTTCAGTTTCTGAAATTCAAACATCAAGCACAGTATATTGTATTAATCAAGTTGGAAGTGATGGACAAACGAGCAAAAGATCCCATAAGACATGATGTACACCTCTTGCCAAGGCAAGGAGGAAAAGGTGGCAGATACTGGTAATTGCTGCTAACATGGAAAAATATATGTGTTTGTTTTACTCTTGCATCATCTCTGTCTCAGGTTTAACATTTTATGCTCCTCTCTTGTTTTTTTTCCCTAACAGAAAAGTGAGAATACATAAAATAATCACACTAGCTTTACAAAAGAAGTAACATGCAAAAATCATTGGGATGCAAGATTCATACCCACCACAAATACAGTGACACACACCAGTCAAAATTATTCATTGGTACTGAGAGAACTGGCTAGCAAGGCTGGCTAAACCTGAATAGAAAAACCTGGCTTGACAAGGGACATCTTATATCCTTTTGGAAATGGCACTTGGCCATTTTTCCTTGGTATCCTCTTCATGAATGAAGATTAATGTTTCCTAGACCTGTAAGAACACTGAGGGCAAATACTTTCTATTTATTAAAAATAAAAAGAAGTATCGGTCTGCAAAGGATTACATGGTAATGAGACGCTGTCAACCATTATGAAATGTATCATATTATGTAATGACCTTAAGGCCAAAAATCTGGACCAAGATTGTTACAAACAAAAAACATCATACAAAAGCCTACAGTTCTTAATAAGCTGTACAAAGGAAATCATACAATTAGGATACGTCTTTTACCTGCATTTAAACAGATTTTCTCCCTTCCTTTAAGTTGTCAGTTTGACGTGAGTCTACTATGAACCAAAGAAGACATGAAGGGAGAGAAAATACCATCTCTTCTCATCTATTTATTCCACATAGGTGCTACATTTTGGGGTAGGTTTTAGCTCTATTGCTTATGAAACATAATAAAGAAGACAATTATTACTTATTTTTTTATAGTGGGGAATTAATTCAAATGCTGTATTAATGGTAAAGAATCGATCTGGGGTAATGTAAAAGATTACCAAAGTAAAACATGACTGTTTGGAAGATGGCTGCATGGATGGCCAAGGACATTGAACACATTGAGCACCCATACTGTTCCCTGCCCACATTTCTGTCCCACAGCTTGGCTGGTGGAGTGCATTGTGTGACTGCTCAGCAGGCAGTACTTGTCAGTTTGTCCTGAAAATTGTTTGAAGTACATTGGTTGAATTTTCACTGAGAAGGCTGAGGAAAAGTCATCTGGGTCGCCTTGCCAGATGAGCTGGAGAGGGCATCAAAACTTCAGAGAAAACAGCTGCAGACAGGCACTTGCTACCAGCCTAAGAGGTTGTCTGACCTTGGCCAAGAAGGTCCATACAACAATGCTAAGTTAATGCAGTTAAAAAGATTAATTTTAAAATGTTCTTTTATGCCAGCAAGGCCTAAATTTAATGCTAACAGCAATCAGATGCTACCACTTGAGTGAATTAATTTTGAGGAACCCAGACCTTAATGACCTCCAGGGGCTGGGACAGAGCTCCCTAACACCTTCTGTGCTAGTGATGCTGTTTCAAGAATTTCCTGTCAGTTGCACCATTGTGCCCTTTATTTCTGTGACGGTACAACCGCTTGGCGCTATGTGAGGTTATTGGTAACCTGGGTCATTGCAGCATTTTAGTGAGTAGCAAGCTGCAGCTCAACACACTTTGAGATTGAAAGTAATGCTTTCAAAGCTCTGATGCTAAGGTGGCAGTGTGCTGATTTGAGTATGTAGGTGCTTACTTGGGATATCTGCTTAAACTGGTTATGAACTCAAAGATGAGAGTGCTGCGTTCTAATATTGATTAAACCAAATGAAGACCATTGCTGTCCCAGAGACTGGAGCTGCAGAAAATCTGTGAAAGAGCCACTGGCACATTGGGTAAGAATGTGCTGCCTGCCTGAGCATTTTTTTGTCAGGGATAAGGAGGGGCAGAAATAAACTTGTAGGCCAGATTTAACTTACTCATTTGTATTACGGGCTTTAGGTTTTACAGAACAGGAAACAGTAACAGGGCTGTTTTCCAAGGACTGCATCCTCCCTTGTTCTTTCCCACCTGGAGATGATGAAGTAATTTACTGGAAGAAAGGGGACAAAAGTGTGCACAGCTACTACTACCAGAGTGATCAGCTGAAAAGACAAGACCCAGATTATAGACACAGAACACACCTTTTCCATGAGAACATTCCTAGTGGAAACGCCTCCTTGAAACTTAGTAACTTGACCTTGACTGATGAGGGCCCTTATAGTTGCTATGTGGGAACACAGCAAAATAAAACAGAAGTGGAAGTCACACTGCGTGTAAGAGGTCAGTAAGACATCAAAAGTGCTTGGATCACACCAATGGAAATGGGATTACACCAACAGATTTTTGCATGTTATTTCTCACAATAAATCAAAATCCTCCAACCCTATAGAGCACCTTCTAGGTCTGATGGTGTTATCAAGCAATTAATTTTCTCTGGTGAAATGTTGTAACATGACTTGAAAAATTACAGTGCAGCATTTGTTCTCATAACCTACTGCACCGTGATTTCAAAGGGGTAATTAGGTAGTATACTTGAGTTTCAAAACATTATGTGGCTTCTCAGAACAGTACAGACCCTGACACTGACCATAAATGATGCTATGCTTTCTATTGAAATCAAACACAGATTAAATTTTGTTCTCAGTTATGTTTATTCTCTACAGTGTTATTTCAAAAGACCAATCACTTCAAGTTAAAAAGGATTTTGAAAGTTTTGTTTTGTTTTTTAATCTACAGTTTCCTCTCATTTTGCACTGGAATATCATAAAACAGACACAAAAAGGATGCTGAAGTGCTATGCCTTTCTCACTTACCCAGCACCACATATATCTTGGGTACAAGGCAATACGTCTATCCAAGAAACAGAGCAGGAGGAAGCCAGGGTTGGAGTTCTCTATTCTCTTAGAAGTGACCAGAACATTATAAACACAACTGATCCTTATTACTGTAATATTCGTCTCCCTCATGAAGAGTGGACTGCTGAATGGAAAATGCAAGGTAGGAATGAAAGAAAATATCTTCCTACATCATTATGGAATGTCACAGCTGGTTTCAGAGCCAAATTAAATACAATATTTCTGCAGTGGGGCAACACAGATATGGCATGGTGCAAAAGGATGTGCCTTCCTCTTTGAAACTCATCTGCTAAAATTACAAGACAGCACACATCCAAGAAGTAGGGGTAAGGGGGGGGTAACTCACACTTCTGTAAGTTAGCTTTACTCTGAACAGTTTTTCTGTATCAGTTTCACATTTCAAGAGGTGTATAAAAATCAACCTTTACACTTTATCAAATAAAAGAATGAACTTGGACAAAATACACGGAAACCTTAGTGAACCTGTGGGTTATATGAGGGAGGGGAACATTTGCCTGGTGCTCTAGATGCCTGTGCTCCTTACTCAGTCCATTCCCCATCTTTTGTGAGAGTTTTTTCAGTACTGTTTGGTCCTTTCTCTGTACTTCTGCTCAAGTGCATTCTTAAGTACCCAGGCTCAGTGCTGGGGGGGCATGGGAGTGGGGAGCAGCAAGCACTGCTTGCGTTTGGGCACACAGCCCCTCATTTTGTTAGTTAAGGCAAAATAGAACTATGACATTTCAACTTGCTGTTCTGTCCTCCTCCTGAATTTCACTGGAAATTCAGTTCAAGTAAGTAACTGGTACTTTTCAACCCCTGCTATTTCTTAGGAAATATTTTTAATTGGATTGAGAGCAATGCAAGAGCAATTCTCTTGTGAGACGTGCATGGCTGCTCCTATTGCCCTGATTTTCCTCTGAAGTGTACCCAGATACACTCAGTTCCTAATCCCCTGCATATGCTTCAGAACAAAAGTGCAGATTTTAATTTACATCCCATAGTTTACAGCTATGGAAGGTTTCAAGTTTGGTGTCACGGTAGGTAACAAGTGCACTATAAGTGTCTATATTTTGTTAATTTATCCATCTGATCCACAAGAGAAAAAGGTACATTTCACAACAGTTTTGTTCAAGTTTCCCTGTGTCCGTCTATCGTCTCACTGGAACATTTTTTAAATATACTATTTTTTTCCTTATATAATAGCAGTGTCCTTATGGTTTTCAGCCCCATTCTGTGCATTCAGATCCACACCAAAACCCAGCGTGGTTATACCATGTCAAAATAATGTATTAGTTTCCTCTCCAGCAGACTGCCAGCCACCACAACCGCCTCTTTTTTTTCCCTTCCTTTGCAGCAAATCCCTGCTGTCAAATTGATAGTTGTGCTACGATATTAATTTGCCTTATATGAGTATTTTATACATTAGCTATTAGTTCCATTTACCTGCTTTTTCCTTCCCCTTCCTTTTTTTAAAAGCTATTCGTTAATTCTAAGTGTTTCAGACAGGTAAAGTACTTAAATTCACCATAGCTGAAAGTTATTTCTAAGTAAATACAATCTTTTTATTCTTTTAATTGAATTATATTGTAACAGCTTTACCCTTTTGCTTTGAATGTGCAGGTATCTGATTAGTTACATTTTCTCCCTGCTCCCAACGTGTGGGATTTCATGCTACTTTACACAGTAACTTAGATTAGGCTGAATCACTTTTATTAATGAGCTCCCCAATTAGAGGAGAACTAGGCAAATGAAAACAAGATAATTTTCCTAAGTATAGCTAATACCAATTAGATTTTTTTAAAATTATGTAAGATAGATTTGGTTTTAAAATCTTCAGATGCTTCTAGAAGCATATTGTGATGTTTGAATATGCTATTAAAATAGCGAAATATGTTTTTATATTTGTCCACGGTAGTATCAGACTTCAGAAAAAAATCAGAAAAAGTCTAAATAACTTTCATAGTATTTTTAAAACATATAATTGCAGAGGGTTCTTCAATTATCTGTTTCAGACCGGCTGTCTAACGTGGAAGGAAGTAGCACTGCAATTCCTTGTGAATTCAGCAATTACACTGCAAACACTGAGGGTTTCAGTGTTGTCTGGACTTTACACGGAAATGCAGTGATCTCAGACCTGGCCTCCTTCAATGGTACATCTCACTCTTACCAACCTCGAGTCCAGATTAACCAAAATGACTTTTCACTGATGATTCGTGATCTTACTGCGAGCGACAGTGGAGAATATCTGTGTAATATTTCAACACCTCACTACACAAAACTTACTGTGAGAACTTTGCAAGTTGGTGAGTTGCCACTCTTTGAATTATTTGGAGAACGGGGACCGGTGAGGTGAATGCAGAGCCAAAGGGTCAATCAGAACTCTGTAAAATACTGAGAAAAATCATCTTGTGTAATTAGTACAGATGAGCGGGAGAGATATTTTATTATTGTTATCCCAGAAAAAAAAAAGTTACTGAAGATGTATTTTAAAGACTTGAAGTTTCTTTTTTTTTTTCTTTTTTCTTTTTTTTTTTTCAATTGGCAGCTTGTTGTGGCAAAGGTATCAAAATTGGTGGCTGAGCAGCCCTCAGAGGTGAGGGCACAGGGGAACTCTCAGAATCATGTCCTAAATGCTCCTCTAATAGCAAATACTGTCTTTAAAAGTAGCAGGGAGATGAAGATAAACTCAAAGATGTGGTATAAATGTGCCTGCAGGAGAAAACTTGTTGCCGAGGGGACACAGTTGCTATTTTCAAAGCTTTAATTCTACACAGCAGGCGGGTTTTTTTTAGACCTGGGGATATATATGTTTACATGCATGCCTGCATTTTTATGAACTGTAGTAAATTTCCAGCTGTGAAGTCTTAGTTACAGTTTTTTCATTGTCTCCAGTTTCAAGGAGACTTACTGTTTAACTTTTCTAGCTATTGAAAACTCATATTGAAGGTTTAAAAAAATTTACTCCAGTTTTCTAAAATTATAGTGCAAACAAATTACAGATTTGTTAAAAAAATAATATGCTGTTTGGGATGCAGCCTCCTTAAATCTCAGTCCAACGGGAGGAACAAAAAACCCATTCAAACAGTAGCACACAGGCATTTTATGCAATTAAATACAATCACCTAAAAGACTGAAAACTAATATAGGGCACCTCATTTGGTTGGTTGGGTGGAAACAAGCCAGTAGGACATGAAAAATAGAGGCAACATAGCAGAAAATGGGCTAGAATTAATTATAACTGCATATTTTTGTCTTCTTTTCACCCCCCTTCCCCGTGATAATTTAGTTTCAGTCTGAAAACTGAATGTAAGGTGTATTTTAAATGGCAGGAGCTATATTGTGATCTGAAGGAGGGGAGTTAGATTAAAGAAAACGGTTAAGTGAGACAAACACACTTCCTTGCAGATCAAATTCCAGCATGATCTTGTCCTGTAAACTTAATATTGTGGCTCTGAAGTGGAGAGCATTGAAAACCTCCAAGGAGTTACACACCTAACTAGTGCTGCTAACTTATGCACACAAGTTTGTCAGTCTCCCTGTACATTTACTGGAGACAGACACATGCACCTCTCCAATCCAAATATGATCTGGATCATCCTCTACAAATCACTTTCTCTAGGTGCTGTCTGCTGATGGATCTTAAAATAGCCATAGGTGATACAAATCCCCTCTTTAGTGGCTAAATTACTGCACTGCTCACAGAATTTTCCTACTTGTGGACCAGAAATACATTATAGAGAACAGAGAAGACACTTACCAGAGATATTGCCATCTTTGTGGCAGCACAGGCTGAAAGCAGATAAGCAGATGGAGACAGTAGGGCGTAAGGGAACAAGGGATCAGTATGTTGGGTAGTGGTCATAGCACATCACCTGCTCAACTGTCAGAAAGATTTCCAACCTTCCCTGGTGGTATTTAAAAGATGGGTAGATGGGGTGCTTAGGGACATGGTTTAGAGGTGGAATTGATTGTGTTGGGTTTATGGTTGGACTCGGTGATCTTAAAGGTCTTTTCCAACCACTACAATTCTGTGAAAAGGAGGCTTTTAAGGGGAAAAATGGGATGAATTTACAATCATTTTGGAGGCCGTCTACTGTGTAGAGAAAAGTCACAGCTTAAAGCTGCTCTGCCAAAGGAACTGACAAGATGTGAACACAGGTCTGCATGTGGTGACAGAGCCAAGCTAAAGGCAATGACTAGATTAAATGCTCTGTTTTTGGCAGTTCTCATTTTTTAACTGTTTGCCAGGCAACCTTAGGGAGATTCTAGAGGAGTACAGAATTTTTCAAATTCTTTAGACAAGATGCAGCAGTGGAAAGGAAGCCTGAAGAAGAAGAACCATACTTAAAGGAATGATTCCTCTGGGTCTGAGTGTTCTCACATTGTTTAAATTCACTGGAGTAATGAGACACTTGGTACCATGCAGACTTTTCTGCTAGGTGGGCTCTTACCTCCTGTGGAATCTGTTGTTACTGCCCACCTGAAGGTCTGCTGCTTCTTGTGCCCACCTGGACTGCATGGTTACATCATGAAGTTGGGAGATGTTTTAGATGAAAGTTGCAAAGATTTTGGAACAGAAATAATAAAATCTGTGATCCAGGCTGGGTAACACTTACTGGGTTGTTCTACTGGAAAGCAGCAATACCATTAATGGCACTGAGTGCTGTGCCTGGAGGCAGTGTTTATCATACTCGGCAGTTGATTGTCTTTAAATAGGACTTATATTGAGAAGTTGTCAAATCATATTACAGGAGCACACATGGAATTTTTGTATCAGCACAATTAAGTAAAATAATCTGCTTTCAACTATTCACACTTAAGGCTTTAAAGTATCACTTTAAAGTCTTATAGTATGGATCAAGTTACTTGAATGTTGTTCTGTTAGTAACATTAAAAAGAAACTGAGATGTTCTCCTTAAATCATAGACTTTAAGATTATAAATAAGACAAAAAAATCATAGCTTTGGTATACTTACTGAACAATAGTGAACATTAATTTGTGATATAAAGCACTTCCGTTAAACTCTTTGGAATTTGTATTTTTAAAGAAAATTCAGGTAACACTGGGAAAATTGTGCTAGGAGTGATCGTTGCACTGGTGACGGTAGGAGTCTGTCTCTGCATCTTGTTCAAGGTATGTACAAACATTAGGGCATTTATTTTTAAGGGTACTATTAAGCTTAAATCCAGACCTTGAATGTTTCTCTAAAACATAAATTTGATTTTCATGGGTTAAAGCATACAAAAAATACTGAAAATATAGGATGATAAGTTTCTGCATAAATAAATTGTCCTCATTCTTGCTGTTTTCTATGCCCAGAGGCCCTCTTTGGTACACCCATGAATAGTATTTTGGTTGTAACAATGTTAACATGACCTTCCCTTGACCAGATGCTCACCTGTGCTCTATAAAAAGATGAAAAAGTTGGTTACCCTTCACAAATATTTTCTGATAATTTGCTTTAGAAACAATCAAACTGGTTCATTTTCTCTCACTTGTGTTTAAGACCAAAAAAACCCCCAAACTAAAACATGATGTTCCTCAAACGATGCACATACCTAGTCTTCATTAGGGTTCAAATTACTATTTCAATTATATCCAACGTCAAAGCTCACCAAAAATCCACTCTGAAAAGTTATACTACTCACTTTGTTTAGGAGGCTGCTATAACCATATGGTCCCTGATCTCATCTCTCCACACATCCCTCCTATTTACTAGCATACAGCATCTTCAAGTGGATACATTTTATTCTTGTGCATTTGTAATAGGCTGGCTCTGTATTACAGTATTCTGTCTCCTTCCTCTGCATTTGTGGTGAGTACCCTTAAAAAATGTACTCTAGTTCTTAGTCCTTAGGGTACATCTTTCCATGTCTGACAGTACAGCCCTATCCATGGAGAGCTATACCTTCAAACACCTTGGGCTTTAAAATTTTGTCACAACCTGGATTTGTTAAACTTCAGGAGACATTTTACAATGGTTAGCATGAGGTTTAACAAGAACACACCAGAAAGAAAACTCAAAAATTATTCTCAGTCTTTTATCATTTTTTCTCTCACTTAGAGAATCATTTGCATGCTTCTTATTAGTTAATGTTAATGCTAAGATGCTTTAGAGATTATAACATACTTTTGAGATGCAGCTGTTTAGTTTAAACAATTTAAGTAACATTAATTTATCTTGGGACCTGTTGAGACGCTTAACGTATCATAATCAGAGGAAGTGGACCAGCTTACAGGTTCACTCAGCTCCAGTTACATTGATGGAGCACTAGATGGAAGAAACAGGAATGTTTCTGTACTGTTATGTGGATGCTTATTTTACTCAGCTAATGTTAAAATGTGTGGTGGTTTCACTTGGCTGGCAGCCAAACACAGCTGCTTGCTCACTCCCCTCCCTCCTCAGAGGATAGGGGAGAGAACTGGGGGGGGGTGAGGGTGAGGAGACTCGTAGGTTGAGATAAGAACAATTTAATAGTTGAAATTAAATAACACTTAAAACAATAATGATAATAATAAAAATATAGTAATATAGAAGAGCAAAGTTAAAATTGCAATCCCAGAAGAGAGAGAGCCCGAGTGAAAGCCAGAGAGAGCAAGAGAAAGAGAGAGAGAGAGAGAGAGAGACTCTCATTAATATAATGAACATGATGTTATATGATATGGAATATCCTATTGGCATATTCAAATGGCAATCTAGTTTATTAATTTAAATATTCATTGCCCACGCCCCAGACCTTGCACTTGTAGACTAGCAAAATATGAAGTCCTTCGACGTCCAGTGACAAATAAAAACACTGGTACGTTATCAATGTTTTTCTCATAACAAATCCCATCATAACAAATCGCATGGTGAAACCAAACCCCAGCGCTGTTCTTGTTACTGAAAAGAAACCCAGCTCTGTCCCAGCTAAAAACCAGGACAAAATGTAAAATACTGACTTGTCTTTATAGTGAGTGTGTCCTGTTCTGTTCCCACTAGAGGATTAATTTTACACGTCAGTAGTTCTTAGAAACATTTTTGTTTTGACTAGAAATGCAGAAGACCACATACCAGAAGAAAATCCCTCTCTGCAAACACAGATGCCACTGAGATTGCTGCCGAAGAGAACAAAGAGTTCCTTCAACTTCCCCAGTGTAATTCAGTAAGAGCCACATGGAAATATGATCATTTGAGCAACAGTAACAAACAACTGAACTGACAGAAAAAAAAAAAAAAAGTAAGTAAATTAACACTTCCATGTGAGGAGTCAGCAAGAAAAATTGGAACCTGAATATCCTAAAGGGAAAATGAAAAAGTTTCCACAGAAGAAGATTCAGTTTTGAGGGATTGTTTTGGTGGGTTTTTCCCAGTAAAAGGGAAAGACAGGACTTACTGTTTTGCACTTCATTTAGTATTTTAATTTCAAGCAAAGACAACTTCCCTATTTAAAAGTGGAAAGGATCTAAGAGAACATCCTATTTCTGAGCCACAGTCAGTCCTGATGGGACACGTCCCTCCACAGCATCTCCTATGTCTGTCCTGCAGCTGGCGAGCAAAGTCCTTTGGCTGGTAGTAGTGGAAACTTATAAACCGACTGCTAATATGAAAAACTTTACTTTCTGCTCTCCTACAAAACTTATACAGACTCAAGCTGGTGGGACAAATGGAAACTGGGTTATCCCAGCTTTTAAGGGTTGTCCCCCTGCACAGGTTTAATCTTTGCTGCTTTAACAATGTGCACATGAAATACAAGAGGCTGTGAAGCATGACTGGATTTGCCCTTGGTTTTGATTTTGTCAGCGATCTGCCAATTAGGATTTGTTCCAACATAATGAAGTGGGCTGTTGGCAAGATGTAATATTTTATTGATCCCTGGGGCTTGGCAAAATATAAACACAAGGAAATGAATGGAATACACTAGACAGTCTCTTTGGATTTTCACTTGATGTTTATTTCTGTAAGTGCTTTTTTTTTTTTTTTTTTTCCTACATCTGCTTTCAGTGGTGCCTGATTATATCAAGCATCTTCTCATATCTCTCAGCTTGGACTGTGCTTATTCCTCTTCATGAACCTGAAATGCAATTGAGATAGTATACAACTGTTAAAAATGGAAGTGTTCAGGGAGTTTTAGAAGTTCACAAGTAAATGACAAAAGCTTCTCTTCACTGATGCTTCTGCTCCCTGGTGTTACAGTTTGTATCTGAAATAGACTATCACCAATCTAGCCAACCTTTGCCATCTTACTTCAGCTAACAATATAAGTTTCTTGTCCCCGTGCTGGTGGTGTTCATTCTGAATCACACACACTTCCCAGAGTTTCCAGGAACATGGGTACTAGTAGCACTAGACAAAGTATTTCTAATGCTACACAATTAAAGTAGTCTCTCCAATGCCTTTCTCTCCCCAAAGGAGATGTCATGACTTTTGGGACAGCACTTGCTGCCTGAATGTGTTTCTTGGCAGTTACAGCTGTCACAAGCCCCTTTTTGCAGAGATGACACCTATGCGTGTACAGTTGAGCTCATCTTTTGACATCACAATATTCTGCTATAAGCCAGAGCTGGAACTGGTGTTGGCAAACTAGCACCTGACTAATAAAAACGGGCATCCACTTTTCCAGGACTTTTGCGTATTTGAGGCAGAAAGAGGGTACTAGTAAGATACAGGGAATAAACTCTTAACAGTATTCTAAAAAATTACCCTCATGGTTTACCTATTTCAATGTCTGTGTGATGCCATGGCTTTGTGAACTTACACGAATTTTCACTTTTTTTGTAGGGCTGGAATAATTTAAAGAAAAATATGTGGAAATATTTTACTTTTAAAAGCTGCAAAACTTCCTTTGAGCTTCAGTTCCAGTACTGCTTCCATCATACTTAAATGTGTGAGAGACTAGATCTGCAGTTCTAATGTAGCTCTGCTCTAGATGGTGGAGCTACAGTCATTTGTATCAGTCAAAGATGACTTTATTAGTCCAATATAAAAACAGAAATTGGAGTGCTTCCTCCCACAGAATGCTGGATACAGAAGGAAGAAGGAAGGTGTTGGGATCAAGTCTGATAAAAACCAACAAAATTATACAGAAACATTTTTTTCCCCTCTTTCTTGACTCAGGAGCTGTCACTCCCATGAAACTTATGTGACATTAAGCATGGAAGTTTATGTTTTGCTTGCAAATGAAATAGAAAAAGCAGTGACCCAGCTCGTTTTTCTATCATTCCTGCAAGTAACAACCTCACTCTTACTTGCCCTGGTTGCCACAAGGCAAGCATAGATATGCAAAGGTTTGCTTTCAGTTCCAGAGCAAGTTCTTAGGCACCTTTTAGTTTCATCAATATTATTCTACTACCATTCTGCTCAAGTGCGAAATAGCACAAATATATTCATCATTACTAATGACTTCCCAGCACCTAAGTGACTAATCACTAGTATTTTCTTTCCATCCAGCTCTTCAAATCAATACAAGATCATTGAAAGAGCAGTGTTCAAATATCTGCCAATCTGCTAGTGCAGTAATCCCCAAGCTGTATTTCCTACATAGAAATCTACATCATCAGAGAGAGAAAAAGATGGAACTTTTTAATATCCCTTGCAAAAAAACCTCTCAAAATCACCAGCTCTGGAAACTTCTGGCTGCTGAGCACAGAGATTAGATGACAACATCAAGAGGACAGAGAATTCATTTTGCCTAAGCATCTGATTGCTGTCCTAAAGGCTTACTTAAATGGTAAAATAAAGGGTAGACTAAAACTAAAAATAAAAGTAGTAAACAAGAATTTACTCTACTCCACACTCCTCTAAGAGATGTACCAGATCTTCCTGCATACATAGCATCCACTACTGAATATTAAACAGTCACACTTACCCCATAAGGTATAACCATACCTTTTTCATGCCAATATCTCTTGACTTGCTCCTCAGCTTATTAACTTGAGATTCAGCTATTTCAGCCCTTTCTTCAGCATCATCCAGATCGTGTTGCTGTTTTCTGTACTTGGAAAGGTACAGATTGGCTTGAGCTTCCTGGTGAGAGAAAACAGTGCAGATGATTTCCATGTGAAACAAAGCTTTCCGTTTCAAGCAGGGTGGAAAGTGCTCAGCATGACAAGGCAATGGCTGTATAGGAACCGCTTGCCTCCTGGAGAACCGAGATTGTTGTTTTACAGAGATGATGTTTCCAGTGGCACTCTCCATGTTAAGTGAAATGAGAGATTCTCAACATGCCTCCTAAGGGACTAAAAGGAAAAAAATCTTTCGTGTTCCTTCCCTTCCCCCCTTCCCTTGCAAATTATACTGCAATCTTAAGATAAAATTGAATACCTTTCCTTAAATATAATCAACACACATGCTACCTATTTTATTTTATATGTTTCTACATACAGGGTTTATATGAATATAAATACAAATATGAATACACACACAAAATGTGTATTCGTACTAAGAGCTTCTATGGATTAAAGATTGTGGGTTTAGGACAATAAATTTCTCAAAGGTAAAAAGGCCCAAATAGTTACTTACAGCTTCCTCTGCCTGATGCTTGTAGCTCTTCACTTTTAATTGTAGCTTGTCAATCAGATCTTGCATCCTGGCCAGATTCTTCTTATCTTCTTCTGACTGCATCATAACACCATTAATTTGGTTAACAGTGTAAAAAGACCTAAAGCATCTCTCACAATGAAATAGGCATAGCTGCCATATATATACTTTTAGAAACATATAGTTCAAAACACAAATAAGCCATATTGTGATCACCCTATGTATAGGTAAGAAAAATTTTTATAGGTTGATTGAAGATGTATGTATGCCTGGATGCTGAGGACTAAAAGGGAGTACCCGTCCCTATTTATATATGTATAACTATAGATATATATAAACACAGATATCTATGTGCACATACTTTCAGAGGTGTGCACATACATGCACACACAGAGTTCCTCACTCAGGGGTGGGGACCACTCTTGTCGTTATAGAGCATGTCATTATTTAGTGAAACAGACTATGG